CTATCACGCCTTTCGGGTGTGTCCTTGATATTCCCCTTCAGTGAAACGGTGTGGCCTAATAAAAAATAAAACGCGTTTTGAAATTAAAGACAGATCTCAGAACCTCTTTATTGCAAAACTATAGTGAGAGAAATCCTACTTACCTTGAATTGCTAAATTTCAGCCGTGCCCCTGATGTGTTTCTATCTTCTCTAAAAATGATTTGTAATATATTCTTTGGGCTCCAATATTTAATCTTAATTTGAGGAGATCGCAATTTCTTGTTTAATATAAGGGTAAAGAAATATATGTTATTTGCCGGCTGGGAGGTCCGTATGGTGAAAAACTGTGACTGAGGTCTTGAAAATACTGCCCGAGGCCGTAGGCCGAGGGCAGCATTTTCAAGACCGAGGTCACAGTTTTTCACCATACGGACCGACCCTTAGCCGGTAAATAACATATTTATTGTTTTTAAACTTGACGAAATTCTTTCCGAAAGAACCCGAATGATTTATGGCCGTAAATACGGCAAGATCTTCCATAAACTGAACAATTTTTGAGTGGGTAAATGGTAGTTAAAATAGAGGTGATGCAAATTTAAGAGAGATGCCTCAGCGAAACATTTTCATTTCCGTAACGATAAAGGTGATTTAAAAGGCTTCCAAACAAACTTTGAAACATTATTTTTACAAGTATCTGTCACAATCTGACACCTGTCAATTAGAGAGCGCGCAAGAAAAAGAAAAGCGAAGGAACATTTGAAAACCAACAGAACTAGTTTGGCAAGGACTGTCACGACAATGTTTTCTTCAAAATCAGTTAATGATCTAACGGAAACTATTATTCACTCTCATCGACGATTCATTCATGTACGAAGATTTACCTCTGTTCATTAAGTAAACGGCGAGGAAATTAATTGTGAGTAAATTCAATCTTTTTATTTTGAAGTTGTGAGAGTTTGCTCGTTTGTTTGCTGTAATGGCGTGTTTAACTCTGATCTTTCCTTCACAAAAACTAAATTCGAACGGCACACTCCAACGAGACACAAGGGAATGTAATGCGGCCTTTTCTCAAAAAATTCCTTCAATTTCTGTTGTGCAATTTAAGGTACAAATGTCCAAATTGAACGGAATTGGAAAGACTCACCAGGAGCGTATATTTGTTGTGGAACTTAAATTAAAACTTCGCTCGCTCTTTAACTATGAACAAATTGCTCGAGAAAATTCAGATATTAAATGAATGAAAGTTCCATCGTTCAGTTTAACTGTAACCAAATACCTCACGTTCCAACTTTCTGGGTACTTTTTGTGAACGATTAAAATTAATTGCAGAAGGTTTTTAGGTCGCTTGTCAACCAACGTAATGACACTATTGTTTATACAAATTCATTCTGAAACCAATATTTTTCTGTCAACCAAAGTGATTTGATAGAGAGAAAAGAGAGGATTCATAAGTTATTTATCGGCTTGAGGTAGTGACCGACGTGTTTGCTTAAAAATACTGCCCAGCCGGAAAACGAGGTATATTTATGAAAAATGACAACGAAAGTTGGGATGTACTCGGCGACTCACGAAAGCGTTACCGTGGCCCGTGGGCAGAGATAGGAAAATACTGACCGGGTAAAGAACCAATCAGATTGCAAGATTCGTTACCGTGCCCTCTAAAAAAACAATAAAATAAAATATTGACGAAAACTATCAAAGTTACTGTCCACTTTTGACTGAAAATCTTCAAAAAATGTTTTCTCCTTTACCCCTACAAAACTGTGTGATCCCCTGAAAAACCGTGTGATCCCCTGAAAAACCGTGTGCTCCCCTGAAAAACCGTGTGATCCCTCAAAATTCTCCCCCTCTCCCGGGGATATTATAGGTCCTCCAGTTATTTCTTCCATCCTTAACGTATTTACATTTAAATTGACATAATTGATTTGAATATCATATATTTTTATTAAAATCACGAATGAAGTGATTTTACATGTCTCGCTGCTGTCCTCCTGGACAAGCATGTCTACAAACTGAAAAGTACCTTTTAATAATATATTCAACTGTATTAGTATCACTGTTATTAGCTTATAACGATATTCATGAATATTGCCACTACATGTATACATGTACCATCTCTACTTGCAATGACAACGTACATTTGTTCAAAACCGGTGTAGCCCGTTTTCAAATGGGAATATCACTTGCATATCGGATTACTCTGTAGAGTATAGGTTTGTGTTAATCGGAAAGGTGCCTTCATCTTGGAAATATCTAATGCTGTAACTAATGCGAGCATTATATATGCATTATAGAGTTGTAAATAATACCAAAAAAAAAAAAGTTATTAGAGTTCATGATTAAAAACCATGTTCCGCCGTGACACATCCGCTCTTTAATTTCTATGCTATTTAATATTTTAAGGGAAAGAGGATTCTTCGCCTCGCATACTAAATGCAATAATATTTCTGGCTGTAATATTCATTCCCCATTATTCCAGTCCGTCTTTTCTTCTTTTGAAGTGCCTTCCTCTACTTCAGCAAGTGGTATGTGATGGTCAGAGTGCCGGATCCTGAAAGCAAGAGGAATTTTTTAAAGTCTCTATTACATAAACATATGAAGTAATTCAAGTGTATATAGGTTGTAGCATATGTGACAAAAACAACTAAGAAAAATGCACGGTAACTGGCCAGCGTACGTGAGAGCTCGTTCTCAATCCCTCCCTAGAGAAAGACAATCCTTGAAAAGGTTTAACAATAGAATCTCTGTCACAAATTAGACAGTCCATTATATTTTCTCTCATATACCAAATGAAGGATCATCGACATATCATTCGTCTACGACTAACCAAAAATATAGGTTGGCAGATCCTAGAGATGTACAAGTGTGAAAAGATTCTACATTATACAAACGAAATAAAGAGATCAGACAAACGAAAACAGGAACTTATTAAACATGTACTCACATGGTTATCTGCTGGCACGCTTTCCGTGATACTTGTGCATGTTCAGCGGTAGCAGTAGATACCGGTGCGAATATTTCTGTTTGTGTCCCACGTTCACATTTAGTAAGGCTTTTTCTGGTCATTCTGGATTTTACTGAACTTCTTCCTTTTCTTTCATTTTCTTCATGGGTTGGAGAAAAACTCAATGCTCCAGTACCTTTTGCACTGGCTGCAATGGAGGGCTTCCCAATGATCCCTGACTGAAGTTGTGTTTTAAGCATGTTCTTGCCAACCATCCCACGAATCTCGCCTTGAAGGTCATTAAGTGGAAGAAGCAAGGCTAAGCAGCAAGACAAGGACCATTTTGGATTTTTGCGCCACTCTTTGAAGAACTGATGTAAGTATGCCAGGTACTGAACTAAGAAGAAAATGAATGACCAAAGAGTTAAACCTCTTCTGAGTTATGGTAAAAATTCCATAGGGTGTGGAATTACAAACCATAGAGGCTTGCAACGTAGTTTCAATTGTTAACCAAATCAGTTGAGCTCCTATAGAGAGACTAAATCCTTGTTTTGCGTTTTTTTTCAACGATTGGTTGCTGTTCAGATAAACTCGAGATACGATAAGGTTACCTTCAATGTAAATGGTATGACACTTGTAAAGTTAATATTTTGGAAAATGGAAATATAACAACACGATGTAACAGTTAAAAGTTGCAGTTTAGTTTTTTTTCCATGCAATTAATGTTTATCTCACCAACAAGAAGGCCAATCACCAACGTATTTGCCCCCAAAATCAGTATTTTCATTGCCAGAGCGTCCTTGTGATGGTCCGCCATGTTTGATATGTTCTCTGCTGGAATTTTGCTCACAGCACCAATACCCAGGTTTACAATTGTAACAGCAAGGGAAGTGGACATCAGCCTGTTCTCAAAAGTGTCTTGCATGGGTTTGATCCAGCAAAAAACCACTGCATACATACCGGCAACAACCCATGCCAATCCAATGTAGGATCTGCTTTCTTGACCCACGAGAATGAGGCCACATGTAAGAATGAGTTTTCGGGTCATTTCAACCAGTTCCCAATACCAGGAACGAGGTTTGTAATTTTCGAAGAGAAAGCGCAATCCGTCAACAACTTCTGGATTACAGCCATCATCTCCGTCTTTCTTCGTTATGATTGTTCGCAGATGCCTCCAAAGGGCGACGAAAGAAACAGCAGGTAAAGCCATGGTGTATGCAGCTGAAATATAAGCTATAATTACAAGATGATTGTAATTTGCTCCTTGGCATTTTATGCTGTAATCTACTTTAAGGTACTCGTCACATAGCTCTTCTCTTTTATCTTTGCAGAGTTTCTGGCAGGCGAACGGCATAACGCTAGCTGTCCTCGAACAGGTGCTTAGGTAGGTCACGTATAAGAAGAAAAAAACATTTCTGTAAATAAGTACTTTCCTATGTGAAATTTTTTGTGCCCTTTCGTCCTCCTCCAGGCTCTGGTTTCTTGAGATCATCATATACCAAAAACCATAGATCACACACGAACCAACGATAACAATGGCATTCATTGACAAGAGCACAAACAAATCTCCAAAGGCATCCACGTGTAATTCGTGGTTAAGGCAGTGAATAGGTGTTACCCGAAGCAAATTCATCTGTAAAATTCCTGAATACTTGGACACAACCTGCAATGAATCTGGCCATTCAATGAACGAGAACACGTCAAGCAAGCCATGAGTGACTTGATAAAAACCAATCAAGATCTTAAGTTTTGACAACAAACTGTCAAAACGAGAGAGTCCCCGGTCCTTTGAAAGATTATTTTTCTTTCTCCAAACTAAAAGGGCCAACAATATCGCTATAATAGAAGCAATAAGAGATAACTGTGCTGCGATCCAGGCCCTTAAAGGACATTTTTCACAAGAGTGAAATTGTTTGTAGTAACCTGGCTTGCATACAGCGCAAAGTGGACCTTGATACCCTTCTCCGCATGGTGAGTCCAAACCACCTTTGCAAGACTTCTCAACCTGACATCTATACGGTGTTGGTATTGAATAAGGATACTGCACTGAGAAATCATCCAGTTCAGGTAACTCTAGGGCGAGATTTTTCATGAAAGATTCGTAGCGATGTTTGTAGGACTCGTTCCGCCATTGCCACCAAAAGCCAGGTTTCAATGAGGCATACTCATCTTGGCATAGCAGCCCGCCTCGGCCACATCTAACACACTTTTCGAAGAGATGAGTTCGGTAATGTCCTTCTAGGCAGGGACAAGCGCGATGTCCAGCGAAAAAGTCGGTTTCCGTTCCTGTAAAAATCCAAGATTGTATTTGTAAATCAATCATAGCTTACTCACACCTACATTTAGTTAGATGAAGCTTGAGCCCAAAAAGCAGCTAGACTAACGATGGCTGCTGTTGTCATATTTAATTTTCATTTTAAAACTAAGTAGGTTCCGAGTTTTGAGCCTTTTTTTCGTTCTCGCCACAAATGCAAAAAATGTGGAATCATTGGTATTATTAATCAGTGCAGGGTGGACGTGTGTACGCACTGACAGCTGAAACCTTTACTGATGTTGAGAACCACATGCTTGGTTATTACCGTCAGGACACGTCTTGCAGTCTAAAATGGATTTTCCAGGTTTTTTGTCAAATGCCACGTAAGAACCATTTGGACATTTCTTACAGCCGTCTGCAACATAACCAAGAGTGTCGGAGTAAAAACCACCTGAAAGAGGACAGGTCAAGGTTAAGCCTTCGAAAACTAATGGCTAATCACTATTATAGGTACCTGCAAATCTGCTTCTGAGAAACTTTTCTCCCTCACGATTATCGTTTGCTTTGGTTCAAAGTCAAATTTTTTATCAATTTCAGTTTAATTGATAGAGGAAAACATTTCCTTTACAAGTCATTCTTTTCTAGTAGTTAATGCTTTGGACAAAGAGACTATTTTTTTATTTATATACTGAAACCTGAAATCCTTTCTCACGTCGGCGTCATAAATCGATACAGTTATTATTTCCCTACACTTTTGTAGCCCTTTGGGCTTTATTAGAAATATGTTGGTGTGGTTAAAATAGAAGGACCCCGGCAGACATCGTGCATTCAAGCTTTCTCAAAATAACTGCTGTGGAAATATTTTACATTTATAAGCATGAATAGGTCTATAAAAAGACAAACGTCTCAAATAATTAATCGCTTTCACCGTTTCTTATTGTGGCCTAAGCTACATCGGGTTCTTACAAACGTCCAAACTATAACATACCAGGAGAGCAAGCGACGCACTTCCAGCTTCCTCCTCCCAAATACTTCGAAAATGATCCCAAAGGACATGGGAGAAATACAACGTGTGATTGGTTTTCATTTTTGGTGAAACCCATACTGAGTAGTACTGACTCAATGGAGAAGTGTTCACTGCTTTTACGTACAACGACAAGAGAGTTCCTAAGAGTGAAAATGTTAACAGGAGTATTTTTTGAAATATTGCGATAAATACATGAAGTCTGTGTTTTGATTTTTCCGTTTTACATTGCTCGATACGTAGAAGTAAAGCGCGATATATATTGAAATAAGGGAAAAACAGAGAGACAATACTTTCATGCCTACAAGCCTGTTTCGTGATTACTCGCTAGTCAGCGTGAATCCCCCCTTACGAGAAAGTATTCACGGAAGAGGCTTGTAAGGATGAAAGTATAGTCTCTCTATATTTCCCCCTATCTCAATATATATATATATATATATATATATATATATAGATCATCGCTTTATCTTGACTATATCAGACTTTACAATACCAGACACTAATGGCGATAACGCTGGTAATTGATGCAAGTAAAATTTCTATTAATTTGATTTTAAACGCTCTGTTTTTTTCCCTCAGATCGGTATAGTGGTGTTCCAAAAATCATCCTACATTTGAATGTTAAGCTTTTTTTTTAATGTTTCTACTCTCCCTTAGTTATCATCATTACTTGATACCTTGCCTCATAAGTAATCGCAATTAATGCTAATTTTATTTAACATTGGTCAGCTGCTTCTCCTAAATTAAAGTTACGTATCAAAAAAAAATGTGTATATGATATGATGTCATGCGTGTATGCTATCAAAACATTCATCTTATACTGACAAGTAAATTGTGACTTTTCCCCTTGGAATGGAATAATACATGGTTCTAGCTGTTCTATTCCTTGCAACACTGCAACAGAAATTAAACAATGTTTAGAGGCTGAAAATCTAAATTTAACTGAAACAAATCAACATTAGCTATCGTAAGTTCGAAAGTTACTCGTTTTATGTTGTTTTTTGTTTTGTTTTGTTTTGATTTTTTTCTGAAAGCATCAACTTATATTGTGTTGTGAGAATACTCATGGGCTCGGCACCATATATCGGGGAGGAGGGGAGGATTCAGAACTCTTAAACTTTCCACCTCGTGCTCAATAAATGGACATCATGTGAGTATGAAGACAGTATATATCAGCGCTTAATGTTGCTCCATAAGGTGAGTATTGTTGCGGCCTATAAAACTTTAATTTCAAGTTTGAGAAAATGTAATCATTATTTAAAACTCTACAGCGAAGATATAACAAACTTTCACGGGCCGTTATTGCAATGATATTTGTTTGTTATCGTTTTAGCTAGTTAGTGCAGATGCTGAATGTTTGATTATGTTAGATACGTCACAGGTTGAAATTCACAGGGTGGAGGCCTGTGAATGAGGCAGATGTTAAAGTCTTCAACTTTGTCCGGAGAAGAAATCTATAAAATGAGAGAATATCAAGAGCTGAGATCATCTCACTACAAATTCGGCGCAGGTTCGATGCACTTCAGTCCTTAACTTAACGACATATGTGATCTGATTTTGTTTTCCTCGTTTTCATCGGTTTTAAGTCGTCCTTCATGATCTGATCAGCAAATATTAAACTTGAAGAAGTCCTTGAATGAGTAACACCTGGATGGAATGTCATTCCAAACAAATTTAAAACCTACAGTGTAAATTTCACGCTGAGGGACTCAAGGCGAAAGGCCTCCCGCTCGATAATCTCAAGAGGATTATCAGATAATGTTCTACAGGAATAAAATGAGGACGATAAATGTGTAGCAGTGAAAATCACAGTGGGACATTTCTAAATAGAAATTGTAACGAGTCCGATGAAACCGAAGACCCTCTATAAAATGACAGCTACTAAGGTTCTGATTTTGTCTTGCCATATTTACTATCAAATTAATCTGTATTCTCTTTGGACACCTAAAGCAGCCCTTTTCGACCCAACTTAGGATATCATATCATATTCAGTTTAATGAAGTTTTAAGAAACATTTCACAAAAATGTTTAAAGATATTTATGCATGACTACCGACCATGCCCGTCTGCTGGCCTTGTAGTGTATGTATAAATCAGTTTGTTGTATGTGATAGTTTTCTATCGCACTTTGCTGTTGGCTCTGGACATTGCCTGCTAAAAGGATTAGATTTTATTATGCCAGTAAGGAGGATCTCATTAACAGTATCTAAAATCCAGGAGGAAAATCGGAAGTAGTCACGAGTAGAATCTAGGGTTAAAATAATATGCGTGCTTTTCGAAATTGCCCGAGTCAGTCAGTGACGAGGCAAATTTCTGCAACGCAGTTGATTTTAATCCTGAATTTACGAGTAAATATGCGATTCGACGCCATCTTGGAGTGACAGACACACATGGCCTCGATCTCATGCGGTAATCGAGATTCACTTCGGTATTGATGCTGCAAGATATGTAATTAAATAGCTACCATTCGATAGAATGGAAACGAGTTAATGCAAATCAGAACTGTAAGCCAAGCCACCATACGATGTTCGTGGATTGAATTATAGAATGGATTTTGTTACTCAAAGAAAAAAATATCCATTCCTATGCTAAATCGAACGCACTTTACCTTTAAAATTTTATTTTATCAAAAAGGTCTTAAACGCACGTTAACGTTGTTGCGTCAATGAACTGTAATACGCAATAATACTCTAAAGCATGTCAAGCTTTCTGGCCACAAAGCTTTACGACAAAACCAGGCAATGAACGAGCCCCCTGATTCCATAAAAGTGAAGAAATTGTGAAAGCCTCCTTAAATTTGGGAATGAAACTCGTCAACTTTGTGATAGAAAAGTGGGTTTGATCAGGGTTTATCTTGACCTTTTCTGTTGCCGTAAAATTTTATCTGTAAACTTTTTCTAGTTGCTGCCTTTGTGATGGTCTATCCGATTCTACGTGCATCCAAGCTCTTTTTTTCTTCTTTAGTTGGGCTTAGGGAATGACTATTAAAACTACTCACAGTAGAACTAAATAGGTCACATTATAGAAGGCTCCGCAAGGAATTCTCCTCAAACGGTTCCTGTTGAGGAAGCTAACCGAAAAGGCAAAGCAGTCACTGTAGGAAATAAACTACAAGACTATTTATGTCAGAGGCGAGAACGTATCAGAGGGAAAATTATGTTAATAAACGAGATTGTTTGTTTTTCATTGTCTGAAAGGCATTAATTTTCAAATGTAGTTTATCGACTAACAGGAAACTTGACTGCCATGAAGGACAACAATACATAGCTTTATCACCTCTGGCTTTTTTTAATATTTTTGATATCAAATCGAACAAAACAGTATAAAGAAGTAAAGAAATTAATTAAAAGAAAAACAATAAATCGAATCACCAACATCCTGTGCAGCGAATTGAAAGGCACACCAAACGCGTTGCCGGGCAAAAAGGCAAGTTTATTCCAAGAGAAATCTCTGTGGAAACGATTCCATAGGACAATCGAGGTTATTACAGTTAAACTATATGACCAATATACACGTTAAGCCCTTTTATGGGATCTCGAGTCGCTGTAAAAGGATCAATAAATCTTAGGAGTTTTTTCTCCCAAAAATAAGGCGATGCAGGTGGCTCACCGTGACTCAAAAAGTAGACTTAACTTCCACAAGCAGTGATACAATTTTTGCAAATTCACAAGCCACATTTACCCAATAGACTTCTAAAACTGTTTATAACTCGCGTATTTTGAACACAACGCAGTGCAGCTGTGATCAGAAACTCGACAAGCTTCCCAACACACAAGACTAAAGTTCAAGAAATTAAATAGCGGGGAAAGATGTTGGTCAAAATCACAATTTTCACAAACCGTCTGATTAGAACTGGATATATTGTTGCTCAAACTTTGCTGGAGAAATAGTTTCTTTGACCGAGTTACCGCAAGGTTCAAGTTAGCAAGTGCCCAAGTTAACAGAAGTCGACTTTAGATGTTTAAAAACCATGAACCAATGGGTCGGTTAATAAGTAAAATAGTAAGTTCGAAAAAAGTACATGAATCCTAGAGAATATTCACTTGTAACCCGATGCTCGACATTCTACAACGGGATCAAAATTGCGCATAAGTGGCATTAGTTAATGCTTACAGGAATTCCAGCTTCCCAGAACTCGGTAAGCCAGGTAGAGTGGTAATATGGTTGAAAGATAGATCCCTGTTAAAATGTTCAGAATTTGATGCAAGTGAAATAACTTAAATTGACCTTAGAACAATTTGCACTCTTTAACTGGTTCATGATTAGTACAATTTTTCCTCTTGAATTCAAGTTTTTTAGAAAGCTGGATACAGTTTTTTTTAAGCTCTCACAAGCTACATGTATATTCAAAGCGCTCAAAACCCAACTTTCTCCCTTCGGACTCGAACGATTCTCACTCAGGCTTTGATCAAAAGATTGAAATTCGAAATAGTGTATGTGGCATCAAATGAAATTGAGTAATCCAGTTTGACATTTTATTTGGGGGGGGGTGGAGGGGGAGGGAGGGGAATTTGTGAAAATAGCCGATTAGAGTTTGGAAAAACTGTTTCCAACTACCTTAAGTGTCAACTGCTTTCTACGAATCATTAATCATTAAAATAAAACATTTCCATTCACAAAACTAAAAACAAAAAGATGTTTCCTACAGTCTCCCAGTCCCCCACGAAAAAATAAAGGCCTGCCAGTTATTACTAACCTCCCAAGTTACCTTACTAAGCTAGATAACCTTTTAACGCACAGGATTCTCAAGTTGGTTGAGCTGACAAACAATCCCTCAGATAGATTTTCTATATGGTTTGACGATAGATACCTGTGGAAACATCAAAATACAGCAGCAGTTTGTAGCTGCCCTACATACTCTCTTTGATAGCTGTAAGGATAATTGTATTAACGATTTCTTGCTAATTCTATTTGGGGTTTAACCACCACCTGGCACTGACAAAACAATCGAATTTAAGATATTTCAAGAGAGAATTGCGTGAATAATTATTTGAGGCATCCGATCCAACTATTTTCATAAACAACTAAGGATTTTCCCAACCGTTTTGTCACTCATATAAATTTTCAATCAAGTGCAAGTTATTGCTTTCATGAAGCTAACTTTCAGAAAAACCTCGCAAGTTAATTTGCTAATTAGATGCGCTAGATAACCAACTTTTTTTTCACGCACAGGTGTTCCAAGCTAGTCAAGTTTGCAAACAATCTCTCGGGTAGATTTGTTATGTGGTTTGACGATAGAAACCTATGGAAACATCAAAATACAGCAGCAGTTTGTAGTTACCCTATATACTCTCTTTGATAGCTGTAAGGATAATTGTATTAACGATTTCTTGCTAATCCTATCTGGGATTTAACCACCACCTGGCACTGACAAAACAATCGAATTTGAGAGATTTCAAGAGAGAATTGCGTGAATAAATATTTGAGGCATCCGATTCAACTATTTTCATAAACAACTAAGGATTTTCCCAACCGTTTTGTTACTCATATAAATTTTCAATCAAGTGCAAGTTATTGCTTTCATGAAGCTAACTTTCAGCAAAACCTCGCAAGTTAATTTGCTAATTAGATGCGCTAGATAACCAACTTTTTTTTAACGCACAGGTATTCCAAGCTAGTCAAGTTTTCAAACAATCTCTCGGGTAGATTTGTTATGCGGTTTGACGATAGAAACCTATGGAAACATCAAAATACAGCAGCAGTTTGTAGTTACCCTATATACTCTCTTTGATAGCTGTAAAGATAATTGTATTAACGATTTCTGGATAATTTTATCTGGGGTTGAACCACCACCTGGCACTGACAAAACAATCGAATTTGAGAGATTTCAAGAGAGAATTACGTGAATAAATATTTGAGGCATCCGATCCAACTGTTTTCATAAACAACTAAGGATTCTCCCAACCGTTTTGTCACTCATATAAATTTTCAATCAAGTGCAAGTTATTGCTTTCATGAAGCTAACTTTCAGCAAAACCTCGCAAGTTAATTTTCTAATTAAATTCGCTAGATAACCAACTTTTTTTAACGCACAGGTATTCCAAGCTAGTCAAGTTTGCAAACAATCTCTCGGGTAGATTTGTTATGTGGTTTGACGATAGATCTCTGTGGAAACATCAACTATTAATTAGCGTTTTCTGTCCGTTGCTTTGTTAAGTAATCGTACGAGTTATTTGTAAAGCAGCACAAAGTTGCATCGGAAAATACGAAACAATGAAATAAAGAGAGAGCGACTCCACTATCGATTCCATTGTATTGATTATCATTAAGTTTGAGGAAAATTGATTCCTATCGATAGAAAAAGCAAACATTGGCGTCAGTAAATAGACTGATTATCACTTCTGTAAAGTTTGAGTCCAAATCACTAAAAAACGCAATAAATCAACGTGAGAGCATCAGAATATCAATTTCCTTTGCAGAGGAATTAGTAAACTTTCAAATGATTAGAGTTTTAGCAGAAAACAAAGCTGGCACTAACAAACCAACGGAGATTAACGGATTTTGAGTAAAAATTTTCATAAATATTAGAGGCGACCAATCCAACCTTCAGCTACTCAAGATTTTCAGAACTTGTCTGTATCAATCATATCCATTGTTAGGTTGGAATCAAATTAAGCGAGAATTGAGTCCCTGATTTCTCACAATGATTTCAGTTTCATCTATCGATGGTTCTTAAGAAGAAGGCCTCTCAAGTTTATTAGATAGGCTAGACAAACTCGTGTTAACTCACAGCCATATTAGGTTGATCAAGTAGTCAAACCATCGCTCAGGTAAAAAGGCTATATTATTACCCACTAGCGTCCTGTAAAACATCGACTCATTATAGATAGATAGCTATAAAGACGAAAATGACTCATAAAAGGGGAAAAATCCAACTATACAGAAAAGGCCGTCATTGTTTTAATGTGCACGCTATTTGTAAAGTATATGCAATGTAAAATTACGGAATTACCTTTTAAAGGGCACAAATCACAACACAAAAAGGATAATCATTAAAATAAAAAGCCACCAAGACGACCGCCGAATGCTATTGATCGTTGTTCTTCTTGGGTTTGATAAAAAATGACTGCTTTAATTGCACCAAAAAGCGAAATATGATGTCAGTAAATAAACTTATCCTCATTATTGTTAAGATTGAGCCCTAAAGTTTTCACTATAATATCAGCTAAGCTGATTCTTGGCTCTTACAGAGCAAGCCTCTAAATTTTTAGAAAAGCTAGACAAACTCGTGTTGACTCACAGGTATTGCAGGTTGATCAATTTGTCAAACAATCCCTCAGGTAAAAACGTTATGTTATTAGCCTTTAGTTCCCTGAACAAACATCGACTCATTAAAGTAATTTTAATTAACAATCAATCTATTCAAATTTCCTGTGAGGAAAAATATTTCCTCAATTCCAAGAAAGCAAAAAATCCATTTGAGGTCACTGTGCTCGTTTGTGAGTAGAAAAAACGATTTATTATACTAGGAAAATGCGACCGAAGAGAAAAATCCGCCATTTTCAAGGTGTCAAGCTAACGAAGTGTGAAATTACAGGCAATGAGCAAGTGCAATTCAGAGTTACGTTCTCCCAATAACTTCAGGCTGATCTCTTGGTTCATACTGGGCAAGCCTCTCAAATTTATTAGATAAGCTAGATAAACTCGTGTTAACTCACAGCCAGTACAGGTTGATCAAGTTGTCAAACAATCCCTCAGGTAAAAATGCTATATTATTATCCACCAGTTCCCTGAAAAAACACCGACTCACTGAAGGAAGCTTGCTTTATTAGTTGATATTTCAATAGCTGATATTTTCAAAAAACCTTTTTTTCATCTACCCTAAGGTTAATTTTTTACGGTCATTCCTCTGAAATAGTGGTTGCAGTGCAATTTTTTCAAACTTTACCCATTGGTTTTTTATCTCATGGCAACTTAAAGTTTTCAAATAAAAAAGGAGGGCTCTTGACCTCTTTAAGGAGCAACGGTTCTTTGTAGAAACTCTTATTTACGAGTATTTGCTAAATTCTTCTTTCCGAAATCATTTGATATACTGAAAAGTATTTTTTTAAGGAAAAATAGTATTAGCTCGATTACAAGAAAGGGAAATACATGTAAAATGATAGGTCACCATACAAGTTCGCGAGAAAATTACGATTTACCTCTCAGGTGAGCTCCCATCACAGAGAAAAAGCCGCCAGTTTTTAATTTGCGCACGCTATAAGCTAGTTACGTTTGAATCATGGGGAGTAAGCATGTGCAATGCAAAATTACACCAAGACAAGAAAACACCGACTAAGACGACTAGAAGGTATTGATCATCGCCATTTTAATTATTTTATAAAGCCTTCAATTGACATCGGTCAATGAACTGGTCATCGCTATAGTTTGGGTCCTTGAGTTCTAATAATAATTTCAGGGTAAAAGAACTGGGGATGTATATATATGTCAATTTATACACACACACACACATATGTATACGCATATATAAATAATGAAAAGCAAACAAACAAATAAAGACAACGAAGACGAGAATCGATTTTTTTTTCGTACTTACAGCGTGCTCAAATTGATTAAGTCAACAAATATTCCCCCAGGTAGAGAGATTATGTTGTTTCCAGACAAAGTACTGTAAAGGCAATTTATCACCAGAAGTATCACAAGATTAACTGTTGCCCTTGGAAACGGTCGTTGAGAGTGTTTCCATTATCATGTTTATAACTAGAATAAGGTGTTCCATAGGCCGCTAGCTAAAACTTAACCAATCCAACCTCTCCAACGTAGTTTGCAAGGGCCGAGGATTTAATGGTATAGGATCGGGTATTCTCCCCAACGATCTCATACAACTACGTGGAAAAAATGTTTGGTTGGTTGTAAAAACGTGATAAATTTAAGATTAGACTGTTTTCGCAGAGAGCTCAGACCAATTAAGTTGGTGGACTTTCCCTCAGGTATTCACGAATCGCACCATTTTTTGCTTTAAATCGCACCTTTTTCCCAAGCCAATGAGGAGGCTACACTAAAAACAAAACAACCAGTCAGATTTCAAGGCTTTTTTAAAGTAATCAATGAAATTGCAGGAAAAGAAAAGAAAAAGAGTATCATGCGGCAAATTTTGCAACTTCTGTTTCCAAACTCCAAAAATGGATGAATTTAATTTCAAACCGGCTCAGTACTGCATCAATAAAATATTTGAACTGACCAAGTCTTGTATTTGGACGATTCCAAATTGGATGTAATAAAGTGGTAACTGAACCTCGTGTCGTGCAATTTTAGTCTGAAATCATACTTGTGATTTCAAGTCGAACTCGCGTTGCGCGCTCGTTCAATTTTGAAATCAAGCATATGATTTCAGCCCAAATTGCACTCCACTCAGTTCAATTATTTATCAAATTACAGTATCTTGCGAGTTAACTAATTCGGGGTTTCTGCATCTCAAAAAAATAAGAAAAGAGCAATTGTCGCCTCTACATTATGGGAAATTCTTACTTACAGATTTCTTAGCTCTGTAAGGCCAAGAAACGTACTAGCCAGAAGATTGGATAGGTTGCTTGAATAAAATGTTCTGTAAATAGAGGTGCAGGTCAAGGCGGGGACAGCCCCAAGAAAAAACGGAAACCTTTCCTGCCACGCCGAGGCAAATTGCATTTTCTTTACTGGCTTATGAACAGTTAGAAGCAGCCACAAACTCAGGAATTCTGGTCATAAACAAATTAAGGAGTATGCACGAGTTATAAAAAAAAAATAAAATAAAAAAATAAAAGCAGACGTAAAGCATCTTATCGATACATAAGCAGTGATAATTATTAGCCTAGTATGTAATGAGTCCAGTTTTAAACAATGTAGTCTAATTAAGGTTCATATGCCGGTGTGCAAGTGCCCCGAACTTTAGTGCATTGTCAATCAGAACTGAGCTTAGCCCAAAAAGCTTGTTTGTGCCTTATTTTTATAGTCTCTTACAATGTTTCCGTCAACGGTGAAAGACACATCTTAAGTTGTGTTGCTGTCACGTTTTCACAGAAGAGTTCATTTTGAATGCGACTGTTGAATCTCGGAGAACAGGCACTTCCACAATCTGAAAGAAAGAAAGGAAAGTATGGGAAAGGCAAACTAGCAAAACTGATTAAATTAAATCCTTAGATCAATGAACTCCTGTTTTACAGATTTCAAACAACATTGATATGAAGTAGAGAGCAAAGCGCTGTCAAGTTGAATCTGAGTGTGGAGGAAAATAAGTTAAGTTCATTTCGCAAACCACGAGTACTGCTTAATACAGGTTCGATTCGATGGGTAGAGTTTTTGGAACCTCATTTCACTCAGAAATTTCCTTACCTCTAGAAATCACAGTGAAATCTCTCGTATCATATCCATACTTGTTGAAGGCAACAGAGGTGTAATTTGACCCATTATAGAACTGAAAGGCTGCAGTATATGTTGTGTTTACCAACACGGTAGAGTCTCTTATTATTGCTGTGTATATTGGTGGAGTTCCAGTCACAGGAATTTTCACTCTGTAACCTGGGAGAGCTTCCACAACGGCTGGTAAGGATATTTTGGGGGGAACTAGGTTTAAAAAAAAATTGAAATGTAAAACAGTTAGTGGTCAGACTAAATTAATATTACATGAACTTTTCCCAGATTTACTATATGAAATTGCTCCTGTGATTATAAAGATGCGTGCGCTCTGATTGGTCGGGGATTGCGTCATATCTAGATATAATCACCTCGCGTGAGGTAATTATAACATTGGCGCTTAATTTCAAAATGACTGCCTCGTGTTTAGCAAAGTTACCGAGGAAGAGGAAAACGTGATAGAAAAAAAAATTCCGAATAACAAAAGTTGCAGCTTTGTTTTTGGCAAAACTTCTCATAAGTTAAATAGGTCTTTTTCGTGGAAACTGGCTGTTTATATTGATACAAGAAATTGAAACAATTATAACAAAAGATATGCAAGTTTTTTCATTTACAGAATGATTTCAGCAACATGATGAATTAAGAACGGAATTCGAAAGCACCTTAGCAATATGCTATAACAATTATTCGCCTCACACTCATTCAATAGTATTGAATAATTCCCCCGACTTCGTCTCGTGGACTACTCAACAATATTAATTTCTCCTTCGGCGAATAAATGTACATGCAAACATTTCAACTTGTCTTTTTCTTTAAGACACTTCAATTTATCCCATACAGTGCAGAAAGTTAAAGTTGGTTGCATAGAATGTTACAATCAAATCGATTGGTAGGAGAGTCGCGAAAGTACAACAAAACAAAATGTCGGACAGGTTAGGAGAAAATAACAACGTTTTGATTCAGAACAAAAACACCTAACAAATTGGAAACAGCTGCTTTAATGTCAGAACGTCTTGGGCTCCCAAAAACGACCATGATAAAAGTAATAAAACGTAAGAACTGGACGCCATGGAAAAAATTATCTGGGAGCCTACGCAGCCGTTCGTACACGCTTGTAATTTAATCATTAAATTACGAGCGTGATAGCAGTCGTGTGAAGCGAGTTCTGGCTGAGAAAGATTGCAAACTCTAAATTATTCCTACAGAAAGTTTAAAAGCTCGAAGCTAATTCTTGAGGGAAAATCCCGACGACTCCAGCAAAAACACGAAGGAAAGAAGCCGCACCAAAGAACAATAACCATGGCTGAGAGTAAAACAGAATCAAATTTTTGCATGTATATTAAAAATCAGTAATCGCATGATTTTTCTCGTCAGAAATCAGTACTCGTAAAGTTTTCATACATTACGAATTGAACTCGTCGTAAGGGTCATGAAATTTGGTTAGCCTTAAAAAAAATTACTCGTGCTGATTTTTTCCCAAATTGCACTCGAAACCCTGTGAATAGTTGCCATCATCCATAAGAGGTTCATTAATGCCGCTGACAAAGAACGAGTTCAGTTATATAGTTATTTTGTTTTTCTCTTTTAGATAACATCACACTCTCACCACTTCATTGAAAATTTTTAGGAGACAACTATACAAACCAGTGAGAACCGTTTTGAAACGGAAGAAGAATCCCCTCTTATTGACAATGAAGTCTGAATGGAATGTTACCAAGGCGAAGTTTCCATAAACTACAACTGTCTGTCCAGTCCTCCGTCCACAGTATTTTCCAAAGGTATAGTTCTGATCATTACCAATCTTCACAAAGTCATAACTATATTGAAGAGAACATTAATTGGATATTTTTTGTACAGAAAAAAACGTAGCATCCTTAGTCGAGTCTACTCGACTATAATTACTGTTCAAAAAGATAGAATGAAAAACTATAGTCCAATTTTAAAGATGCACTGATGGTTGAAACGACGTTAAAAATCGTTACGCTAATTTGAAACCACAAGACACAGTTAAGGATGAAGCTACCAAATTTATTTATCGTCTCTAATAAAGAGAAAAGGAACAGAAATTACGGACGATTTTTTTTGTCTAAGCTAGAATACGTAAGTTGCATATTTTTCCTTGCATTTTTTGAACGAGTGCTGTAAAGTTTGCTTCAGCTACATTATCTACCTCAGTTTGATTCTTTCATTACGCTCATTTTGCAAATAAGAATAGCATTCAAAACATAATAGGGGACACAGAACTCTTGGACCGGCTGCCTACAATGAAAAATGTTTAATTCGTGGCAGAGAGAGCTATCTTGCCTGCATGATGGGTGAAACTCCACGTCAAAGTCAACGAAATATATTCCCATTGGCCCTCCGGGTGGAATAGGAACAGAGTATTCACAATCCATATCTGCTGGATAGGCAAATGGATATCCACGACTTTTCAATGTGCTGTTTACCGAAACGCCACATTCTGAAGAAATAGTAATAGCAGTACATCATTATTATAATGTATATTACTATTGTTATAATCATTATTATTATTATTATTATTATTTACTATTATTGTCATTAATATTATTATCACTATTACCGCATCTACTTTTTTTGGTAAAATTGATTAAAGGAAAATAATAATGATGATGATCATGATGATGATGATGATGACATTGATATCGTGCTAATTACGTAAACAATGTTGAAGTGTTCAGGAAAAATCACATTGAATAAAAAACCATGATAGATTTGATCGATTACTATGTCAATTTTTGTTTCTTATGTAACGGTTTGGCGTTACGAGTTGCAAAGCAACATTTTACATCAAGGAAAATTTAGGTTAGTGTTCCGTTTCCCACAAAGGAAATAACTGATCATATTAGAGCAATGATCCCCTCTGATTTGGCCAAGAGAAACCCTTCGTTAAAGTAGCAACAACAACTTCATTTCCCACCTTGTGTAGCTAATGCACCGGAATTTCTATTCAATGCTTTTAGACAAATTACCAAAAACAGTGCCATGAGGAGCGCAGGTTCCATTACAACCATAGTATCTGAGAACGGATAAAACAAGTAAAAGAGAAATTCAATTAATGATTAATCGATTTTATCACCTATCGTATAGAATATCAATATTTGAATTAATTTTAAAGTAATTATCCTAAATTCGTTCGCCGACTTTTTACCTCTTTTGTTCGTATGGTTTTTTAATGCGAGTATGAGCTCTTAAATCATAATGTAGTGAAAACCTTTGCGATGTTTCAAAAGTTTACTATGCACTCCAGTGTCTTTTTGGAAGGGCGTCATCTTGCTTTCTAATTAATAATTCGTGAAGGCCAGTTTCAATTTAGCAAAGAAAATGATATATCTTATATCCCTTCATTAGCTAGGTACCTAACTATTCATTTATTTTTCTTAACAAGAGAAAAAAAAGCGCGGGACTCCAGAGTACTAGATTCACTATGGTGTCCGAATATTCCTCAGTATACAAGCATAGTTGGTGTATTTCCATGGAGCTGTACACTAATGCAGCCCAGCTAACATTTGGAGATAGAGATATAATTACATTAGCAATTTCGTTCTTTGCTCTGTATTACATCTGTCTTATCAAAACTAATATTTTATAAATGCATTCTGATTTGCGACTTCACGAAGTTTTATTTTGCGATTATTCAGTAGGTGAGGCAGAAGTGACAATTGAAATATCTTTAAAATATATTGAAGTGAATTGTTCATTTTTCCTCGATTTGGATGGAGTTCCTTTCCGCCACATTTTAATGCAAAATACGTCATTTCTTCGTTCTTTGCTTTAAAGGATTCTGTTCGTCACCAGTCTTCGACTTGCGTGTTTAACGATTCTTCCACATTCAGGACACGATGCACGTTCAGGCAAGGGTCGTTTGTATTACTACTGGCTGCCCCACTTGTTCTCCCCTTATACCATGCTGTAATACTGGTATTACGTTGTTCCTAACATGATAATCACTTCTCAGGTGCAGAAATCCTTTTATCATAGCACACGTAACCATTTGCGAGGGCAGGTTTAATTGTGGACCGTCCGAGCCTCTCCTACGGATGTCTGAGTTGACGAATGATTGCAATGTTATATAAAGCTGTTGCGCAGACGCCACATGGCAAATAATGTACACTCTAAGGTAGCTTCCTGTCAAAAACGTTGCTTCCTCCAAGAATTCGTACTTATCTGAAGATATGTTCCAGTTCAAAAATGATTCCCCTTCGAAAACGTCTAATCCTCGAGTATTCTTAGCAACTTTCGATCAAATATTTCTTAGTGCATGGAAAAACTCGAGGTGTTTTACAACAAGTTTTATAGTACATTATATATACGCTGACTGTGTTGGAGAAAGCGAAATCGCAGGTTTAGCAAATTTGATTACGCCTATATTACTATATGTTTCATTGGATCAACGAAACCAATCTTCGTCTTGAACCATTTCATAAACAGAAAGTTTTATAATTGCCATTTTTTGGTTGCTAAACATCTATTTGACAGGAAGGACTCAAGAAAACATATTCTTACCAATAGAGTGACGTCTTGTAACAGTTTATTGTTACTCTCTGGCCGTTCGGGCCCAAGCCACCTGTTTGGAAAATAGGGAAAGGAAAACTGTTCAAGCCAAATTTTCTGAAACAAAAGAAGGGAATTCATGAGAACTTCCCATATCTGATTAAAAAGAGAAAAATTCCAGGTGCAATGCTTTCGACGAACGTGCAAAGCTAAATCCATTTCACGCTTCCACTTCTTAAATTCTGGGAAATAACTTTTAACAAAGTTACATATTTCCCGCGATTTGTTTCGTTCGGTTTGTTCATCAGTAAACTGACAGTTGTTCCTTTGTTACTAAATAAGAATGATGTTCGATTTTTACAAGAGCTTTAACGATTGAGTTCTCTTAGATTTTCTTACCTCCGTTACCTGTTGGGCGCCTCTTCGCTCTGCAGTTCAAATTAACTTGCCTAGACTTTCAATCACTCTTCTTAATGGAAAAACTAATGAGATTTTTCCAGAATTGTTCTCTTACTGCAAAGAGAACCCCCAACCGAGTGTAAAAGATTGATGTATTACCGGGAGTAATAATTCCAAATGCTCGACCTTTTTTGAAATGACACCTAAAAAACTTCTAAATATGGCACTTCGTTAACTTTTTGCGAAAATGATTTTTGGAAGGATCACCAAACTCTACAGCCGAGGAAAGAAAAAATTTTTCATACTGAAGTTCTAATGGAGAAAAATATCAAACAGCTGAATAAACCTTTTTCTATTATCTAAACCTTAATGTGACAGTTTCAAATATGATTCGTTTTTTGTTTGTTAAAAATTATCTTGAAACACTGAAACCTCAGGCCTTGTATCAACGCCTTCAAATTAACCAAGATTGTGTTTTTTTTTTCTTTCCATAATTTGCACAGATATAAATGACAGTATAGAGGAGTGTACCATGAAAGGGGTAGGGGGCGTCAACTAGCTCTTGCAACGTGAAAGTCGCCGAATTTATCTGCGAATGTTTGCGTAAGTATTTGTAGAAGCAATCAATCCGGGTCAAAAATAATCTTTTCAGCGGAATTTGAAGTTTTTAATGGCTTTAATAATCTGGAGCAAAACAGGTGTCTCACAATAAATTCCTGTATGGAGGAAACGGGTTTAATCTACAATGAAAATTAAAGTTTAGAATCCAGGCGAAATTGTTTCATGAGAAAGTCACCCGTTTTATTTAGAAATTCCTGAAGAAATATCTCATTTGAAGAGCTCCGTCACTGAGATAGAAAACTTCTAGAGGACGCAAATGAAACCGACCATAATTATGCTTCACAGTTGACAGAACATTTTCGTCTTAAGATGAAGCTTTTAATAGCTGTTATTGTACTTTAGACTTATAAAGAAAAATTGATTGGTCGTGAGCGTTCGTTCAACTATTTACAATAGCGTGTGAAGTTGACATAATAACCCATTTTGCATTAGTTATGTTTGAGTTCGCAAAAACTTTTCTTCATTTTCGCAAAAAAAGTGTCTTCATTTTCAGATTGTTCAAAAATTTTATAATAAAACAATTAGTGAATTCGGTTTTCGCATTTTATCATGAATTATCAAACATCGTGACTGTGTTATTTGCCTCAACCTTCTGCTTCGGTTTTGATAATTCATGCTTAACCTCATCCGATAATCGCTTTTTGGTGGCTGAAGCAAAAAAAAAAACACCCGTGTCTTTCACGCAGTGAAAAGACACCCGCAAAAAGTAACAAAATGGGATAAGAATTTCTCAAAGGATTTGAGAACAACGATCGAAAATAAAATTTTACAATAAAAGTCGTTTTGTAACGTTTTGAAACGTTTTGTGACAAGTTGACGTCTCACGAGCTAATCCGACGCGAGCGAGCATTATGCAAGAGCAGCCACAGATCGCCTCTCTTTTTGCTTCGCTTTTCCCGCCTATTAAGAAGTGCATAAAAAATAAAGCAGTTGGATAATAAATAACTTAATACGCGTTTTGGTGTGTAGTATCGCAGAGTATTTTAACTCGTTGATTATGTATTGACTCACCCTGCGGGCTCGACAAAACTCGGCACAACTCGCATAAATACTCAGCGATACTACACACAAAACGTCTAATAAGATATATATATATGTATATATATATATATATATATATATATATATATATATATATATATAGGAGCTAGCTAATATAGCCTAGATCCGACAGACACGGTCAATGAATTCGTCAGCGAAGTCAAAGGAAGAAATTCTGTAAGCGGTTGTTGTCGAGCCAAATATAAGCAAGTTGGAGTAGTTTCTTTTTGCATGCGTTTTTACTAAAAAAACTAATCTCCTCAGGCTTGCCGAATATGAGATTGTTACATCCAACTCGGTGCTACATGCCTCGTTGGTGTAGAATTACTGAGTTAAGGAAACCAAATCTATGCATAATGTATGATGAGCTGAAATAAAGGCTAGGATGGCAGAAAATTGTTATTTTTTCCCTATTTTTAATATTTTCCAAGCATATAGGGTTCGTGATCGTAGCAGGTGCGCTGCAATTAAAGAAATTACAGAGATTAAGCCTGAAATTAATTCAGGCTTCGACGGGATTCTAACCCGTGCCACCCAGATGCCAGCTAGGCGTTACTAACAAACTGAGCAGGTAAAACAGTAAATGGTTTGAACCCGGGGGTAACATGTAATAGTGTAGTTTGATCGTCCGGGTGAGTGTAGTCCTGGGAAGGACTGTTGTCGGTAGTGGTGACTGACGTTTCGACAACCTGAGCGGAAGTCATCATCAGAGTCAAGTCAGAGTCAGAGTCGGTTCGTTTGTAATGTTAATGTCGTGAATGAGTCATTTACTACACTATCACATGTTACCCCCGGGTTCAAACCATTTACTGTTTTACCTGCTCAGTTTTGTTGTCGAAACGTCAGTCACCACTACCGACAACAGTCCTTCTCAGGACTACACTTACCTGGACGATCAAACTATTACATGAGCAGGTAAAGTTAAGAGGGTTCTTCGTTCTGGTGACTGTGGTTCTTTTTCGTGTTTGAAAGATGTGATTGATTGAAAAATACCACATTAAAATGATTAAAAATTTAATTGTTTTCAATTTAAAGATGGTTTTTCAATTGAAGAAGGTTCACGTTGCAAAAACACAGCAAGTTTCCACTGATATATCTCCTTATCTCCTTATCTCCTTTATGTTACTGGTGGTGTTACATGATCGTGACAGCCTTACGCCAGTCAAGTGAATTTTGATTGACATAGTTAGAAGCGTAATCGACATATCTACTCATAGTAGTCTTATTTGGTTTATTAAGCTTGGTAGGTTGAGATGAAGTATAATGCCATTACAACATTTCAAGGGAAATTTCGTTTGATTCGTCAACGGTAAACTTACAAGGGGATTAAGTAAATCACACCGAGACGGGTTGCATTTCCGAGAAGATAAATGACAGAAAATAAAGGAAGGAAAGGGCCCTCTTGTGATCTGAACCTTTGGCATTCAGAAAAAGATCCAAATTTGCCCAAGGACCTCTTTAAAACGACAGCTCAAAAGACGAACTTTTCTTGAAAGTGCGTAAATTTTCGTGAGAAGTTCACCATCAGACGACTTTATTAACTGTCTCCAGTTTTCCTCTCGCCTTCTCTTTTCCTCCAGGTGTATCAGTCTGAAGAATATGCTGAGGGCGAGGCGAGGGGAGGCGAGGCGAGGGGGGGGGGAGTGATGACAGGAAGAAAGACGCAAAGATGACGTCACAATCAATAACATTTTTTTTCTAATATTAAACAAATAGATTCTAGGTTTCCGTTTTTCTGTACAGTAAAAGAGGTTCACAGAAGACGTCAAAATTTGGTTAAAACATCAGCTACATTTGTGATCTATTGCAGACTCACGGTAACATGGAATTCACTGTTAAATTGAAAATTGCACATACTTAAAGGTAGACATCATTCCCGTATATGTTCAATAGTCTCTACTTAGGCTAAATTTATGCTACAATATTTTTTACAGAGACATTATGTATTACATAACAGGTACACAGTTTTCCATGAACGAAGCATGGGGAAAACTTAGAGCCGCTTGGAGGAATATAAAATGCATATTGTCGAACCAAATGGAGACAATTGCATTTATAATCCTTCAAAAATTGGCGTGCGGAAAAAATAAAATTAAGTAGTTACAGTCTAACAGTAAACATCTGTGGCTTCGAGAAACAAAGGATATTTATTACATCAACTTTGTTGGAAGTGCAGCAGTAAACAATTCTCAAAACGAAGTCCACTAAATTTCCAGATAGTAAAGCCCCAATAAATCAGCTTTTTTTTTCCTGTACAATTATTTAGAAACCTGAGTCAAATCTTTTGAAAGACACAGGAAATTAACACACAACATAAAACCAATGTTATTTTTTCCACGGCCAAAGAGCAGCCACAGACGCGGCCGCTGAACTGACCAGGCTTGCGGCTGTCGCGGGCTCGTCCGTCCTCTGGTTACCTTCCGACGACTTGGACTGCAACAAAGCCCCTTGGTGAGTGGATGAGTCTGTCGTGTCAACCAAGTTGGAGGGCAGGTTTTCCCACTCGGTATCCGATTCACTGTTCGCGTCTTCCGATGCCGAATCGTTTTGATCACTGGAATCAGCGTCGTCGTTTTCGCTGCTAATCGATATCAACTCGGGATGACACTCAAACGGGCCTCCCCTATGACATGAATGGCACCCCTGTCATTAATATTTTGACTAAAACCCAACCGGAGCAAATTTCTCGGCTTATGTCTTGGTCTGTTTCCGCAGTTTCCCTTTTTTCTTTTGTTGGGGGGTGGGGGATGGGGTTAGAGGGGAGTTAGAGTTTCATCTCTCGGTAAGTAACATAATTTTGAAACTTCAAACTGTATAGATAACCAAATGGTTTTAATTTCAATTTGTAATAAATGAGCTGGAGAAATCACAAGATTTACTTTGAAACCCATAACTTTGCACTCAGTCCTCTCAACTTTTTGCAATCAACTTCGGCTGTCAACACTGTCTTATATTAGCTGTCCTCCTCTCAACTTGCGAACAATTTTTGGAGATAATAGAAACTTACCGTCCAAGGTGGAGCGAGTTCAAGCAAGTATACAGATTGTGTAAAGTTCTCCTCGGATGAAGAAGGGAAGGTTCCACGTGCTAAAATAAAAAGCAAAACAAAAGTGAAAAAAGAAAATAAACACTCCATACATTTGAGATGTTCGAGTTACAAACTGATATTTTTATCAACAGGGATGAAAAAAAAAAGAAAAGAAACACGAGTAAAAAAATGCTTCCTGCTCAGATAAAACGACAAAAGTTTTGTAATTTTTAATAACTGATAAAAAATAAAACTGTGACTCTGTAAAAATCGCATCAGCGTTTAAAAATGGGAAATGCAATTCGTGTAAGCCACATCCAATGGTGAATTTCACCAAATCATTTTCTGTTCGGGAAAGAATCTTGAGGAAAAAATCATTAATTCTTCTGAATAGTTCTGTTCACTGAACTAACGTTTGGCTATACTCTTACCTGCGTGAAACACAAGTGAAGCACGTTTGCGTTCAATCGATCTACGGCGCTTTTAAAGTCCTTTTTACTTAATTCACGGTGACAAAATTCACTACAAGATAAACCAACAAATGAATTTATAAATTGTTCAATGTTGTTTCATAAAAATTGAAGGAAGGATTTTTAAAGTACAGAAAATGTGTTCGCAATACCTGTAGCTTATTCTTTTTGGTAGATTCACATCCAAATAGAACGCCATGAGCTCCAGCATTTGACAAGCATGTGTAAGCGCAGCGGTCATCTTAAAAGCTGGTGTTTTTACAGAGATTTCTTCATCGGATGCTGAAATAAAAATCAACGACGGTGAGGTTCTTCTCCAATCCACGCAGGTTTTTAAGAATAGCAGCAGGATAGCTATGGCCTGCTCCTAAATTCCGTTTCTTTGTCAAGCAGCAAATGGGAGTACTGTCAATCAGAGAGTACGAGGAACAGGCACATAACAGGTTACCCACATATACGATGTATATCCAGGGACCCCTTCCGATCTCGAGAACCACACTACAAGTTAGTTGTACCATTAAGCTTGCGAGCAAACCCTCGTTATAAGCGCTGCCGCAAAAGTAAAGTTACGTAACAAGAAAATTTGATGCCCTAAGCAGGGGAGGGATCTGTCAAGGGTCTAGTACATGTAGGGCCAGACTCCGCGCAGGGCTAATAACGAGGGCAGAGAGGAATAGTGAGGTGAATATTATGTGTACTGCACTGAGCAAGGATATAATCGAACGAGGCACACTCGTACCTTTTTCTTTCTTAATTGAACTTAATCTAAACCGAAACGTTTAGACGGACAAACAAGCACAGTCCACATGTTCTGCTTCAAAATTACGTATATGTTTTTTATAGCCCAATGATACATCCATTTAGAGAACAATTCTTGTTGCATAGATGATAGTAACGAGAGCTAATTCAGTGCTGCGTATCTTGGGCTTTAGCTTTTAGTCACCTGGTTTGCTTAAGGTCCTTATCAACTGAAGTAGGTTATCTTTTTTGCGCCGGACTGGATTTAAACGAACAAGTACAATTAACAAAGGACTTACCGAGTTCTCTGGAGCCACTCCTGTGTGCCTTGACTAGAACAAGACAAAAAAATATTAAAATTGATTCCAAGCGGGCTGATGGATAGCAAGGAGGGAGAAGTAATAGGATAACAAAGCTATTTTATTCTAATCTGTGCGCTCCGCGCTCTTAGTTTTCTGCGTGAGTTCGCCTAATTCGCCGTTTGCTGCTATCAAAGAAGACGCAAGGTATTATTCAGATGGATACTAGTTTGTTCTTTTTGAAATATTTGGTGCAGTAATAAGACCCATGTCGCATTATTCTCGGCCATGTGTTTCCAACGAAAAAACTAGCAGAAAATATGGTGAAATCCGAAAAAAAAAAAGGTTGGATACGCTAGCCAGACCACCCAGAGGGAAGATTAAAACAGAAAGAAACGAGAGTGGTTAGGGATGAATATGACAAACAAGGATTGTAATTTGCAATCCTTGGGAAATTCAGGCAATATTTCAAGAGCCACATTGGCCATAATTAACAAGGTCAAACAGTTGCGCATGTGCAAACGTTGTAATAAATAGTTGGCGTGATTGCAGGTTTTCAGAACCGAGTTGTATCTCATGAGTTATATGCAACCACACAAGCCAGTAAGTCTCAGTGTCTTAAAAGCGTACAACTATTTTGGTTAAGCTCAAAACAGAATAGTAAATTAACGGAAAAGCCATACTTGAATAAGCTTTGTGTTCGTTAAGTCTTAAATGTTCCTTTTTCCATTTTTCTTTCCATTTACAGATTTGTATGAAAGTTTTAATTTTCTTTCGCTTAGTTTGCGGAACAGCATTTTTTCGTTAGGTTTTCCTTTGAAATCTTGCGCGGGAAATTGGCGCAAGGGCGACCACAACTGACCCCCTCGCGCATGCTCGACATTTGACCGCTGTATCGCACATACCCCATTCGTGATACGATGAGTAGTCTCCATTCCCTGGTAAATATGCACCATTTATTGAGTACACCATTCGCACATCTTCCTCTTCGGACACCCAACGTCCTTCAATGTACGATGTACGGGTGGCCTCGGCCAGCTCCGACTCGCGGTTCCCGTCATTATTTTCACTCTCAATGTCACAATGGATATCTGAAGGAGAAAGATTTGTCAATTTGCTGCCCTGTAGATCCATCTTCCACAGATGGCTTTGCAAAGATCATAGGTAAATGAAATAGATGAGACATAATAAGAGACGTTGCAGAAAATAAGCCTGAAAAATTCAAGCTTCGACGGTTGGGAGACATGGGTTTAAATCCTATCGAAGTCAATTGATATCTAGGAGCTCCGGGTTCGAATCCAAAGCCTGATTTTTTAATTTTTTTTTTGCAATTTCTTTCCTTGTCTCTATAAATTTGCAAAGCTCATTTTATTCCTTGTAAAAGCAAAATTAGCTACGTATAACTATGAGAAGACAGGTTTTGAAAATAGATGTGAAAGATGACAGGCTTTGGTCTACAATAAGGTCAAAATTTTTAGGAACCTCTCAGGAAACCACCACCACTGAAGATTTCCAGTAAATAACCAAAGATCCAGAACTTACTTACTCATAGCAACAAATGGTGTTATTAAATGATAATTGGTAATCTAGTTTAATATAATAATATCTACTAGACTGACTAGAGGCAATCCTCAGTACATGCTAACGTTACTAATTGCATAGTCTCCATACAATTTTTTTCACATTTCCTATGGAAAATTGACGAGGAGAATCTGTTATATAGTCATGTGCTTCATAATATCTACTAGACTGACTAGAGGCAATCCTTAGTACATGCTAACGTTACTATGCATAGTCTCCGTACAATTTTTTTCACATTTCCTATGGCAAATTGACGAGGAGAATCTGTTATATAGTCATGTGCTTCTGTAGTTGATGATCACTTCCATTATTCTGATGCAGGGAGAAACTAGATGCAAGTCACTTTAAGCTGCTAATCTAAAACATGACTTAAAGTCCTACAATTTAAAAAAGGATTTCAACGGATAGATTCCATATTGCATGCATCTGTTCAGTAATAGATCACAGATAATGTCAAAATGTGGCATTAGAACGAAAAAATAAGGCTCCCAAAGTGAAGCCACATGCATCAATGATGTCCTTATCACATTTTCACACCTTTTGAAATCTGCTACTGAACAAATGCATGCCAAAATTAAATCTATTTGTCTTTTATGACAAAAAGCAAAATGTTGTTAATGGTGCCACATCATCTATGTGTCTATCCTCCAATATATCATGAGTAAGGAACTTATCAAAATGCATCAGAAACTCAGCCTATAATATAATACCCACATATAGGATACATAGCAAATCATCACATCATAAACAAATATCTTTTATCTGATTACAGTCATATACCTTCTGCAGTATCTCTGGGGGAAGGCTCATCCACTACTTGCAAAACAGGATTAACCTGTATGGCAAACAAGTATTTTTGTATTTGTGATAAACTGACTCTGCGGGCTTCACATAACTTCTCTGTGGTACACTCCAGTTCTTGTTTCCTTTTTCCTAGACCAGTCTGTTAGGAGTTCAAACATCAAGAACGATTAATCTTGTGGGGCATATCTGATCCCAGTAACTTGAAAAGTATGTTTGGGTATCAGCTAAAACCAAGGATGAAAGAGCATGATTTCTCTCTCTGAAGTCATTAAAATATGAAGATGGCATGCCAAAGGTTTCTTGCTAGAAGCTGAGTTAAAAACCTCTCCAGGGATTTTGATCATTTTGTTTGGCCAAATTATACAACCCTCCCTCATGCAAATGCAGGTTTTCTTTCAAATGTTAATAAAAATGGAAAATATACCTTCTCTAAAGCAAAAATTCTCTACTATTTACCACCAGGACAAAGTTTCAAAACCACGTTCCACAAACACATTCCAAAAATCACCTGAAACTGTAGTAATTGCTTTGCCTTGGTTTGCAGCTGTTCTGAGTGTTCTGTTTGCCTCAATTGTGTTTTGTTATTAGACTCTTTGAGCACCCTAAGAGTTTGGCTTGCTGTGGATGAGAAGCCAAAAATGTGTTAACTTTGCAATTTTCTTTGAAATAGATAAATTGCAACTGAGAACATTATTGAAACCACACTGTAGGAAAAGGTGTTTTGCTATTTTGGTCTCAGAAAAAGGGAAATTTCAACGCTAAAATATCATATTTAGCACAACAAACCCTTTTCAGTGGTTACATCTGTTCAGTAATTCAATCAACTAAATTATAATTAAGTTGAATGAAAACATTGAAAATTGGGATGATAAATGGAAAAAATAAGCAGATTACTGTGGTTTAAACTTCTTCAATCTATCTAGAACCTTTCCTTTTTTTTTTTTTTTTCCCTTTTTCCTTAAAGTCTTGAATGTCCCCAGATATGATCAAATACTCTTTAAAAAATTATAGCACTAAGGATAAAATCCCACATTCTTGAATAAAAAAATGTCAACCCTGCAAATCCTTAATTTTTAATTCTCCCCTCTAGCTGCTTCAAATATCGAAGTAAAATAGTTAGAAGAATTTGGAGATATATCAAGATAACAACTTCTACATGATAAGTCTGAGTATTCTCATTACCTGGTTGCTAGATAATTTATAAATATCACAAGGAGAAGTTACATGTTAATAATTGGTGGGAATTAAAGGATTAAAAGGTATTACTGATACATATTACATTAGAAAATCGACTCACCTGACTCTATATCAAGAGTTGCTTCCTTGATCACCAACTTTAAAAGTAGAACTCTCTGTCTGCAGCTGATAAGTTCGCAATTCTGCAATTATAATCATTTGACTCTTTATATCAAATATCAAAGTACAGTTTGATTTGTCCAGAACAGTAAACATTTACAGTGAGTACATGTCAGATAAATTACTTGTAACATTCTATGACTACATTAACATTTACTAGATGATTACTGATTGGAGCCGGTTTATTTTTTTCAGATTATTGACCTCCTTTTTCCTTTGGAACATCATAAACTCATACAGTATCAATGGGATCACATTCATTTGGTTATAATTACAGTAAAACTGACAAATTATTTTATTTCAGCCCTTCAAACTTTATTGCTGAAACAGAAACTTACCAATGAGAGAGAGTTTTAAAGGGTCTTTATAAAAAGTACAGAAGTAAAAGAATAATGTGAATTAACAAGAGAAAGTTCACCACATCTGAATAATCAAAATTGAGTCAGTGATTGAGTGAATTTTCCTTCCTTTCCAAAACCTCATAGTATGACTGAAATCACACCATGAGGCGTAAAATGGCTCAGGCCAAGAGTTGTGAGAATTCTGCATAAAAGCCAGAGAATCATTCAGCCCCTAATGCTTTTGGAATGCCTAGAAGTTCTCTTTTACTTTCCCATCAACAGTACCCCTCCAACTGGCTTAACCCTTTAACTCACATGAGTGACCAAGATAGAATTTCTCCTTACAATATCAATACAAGACCAAGCAGACAAGTGATGAGAATAGAGAAAAATCTTAATTAGAGGATTATAAGTTGATCCAATACCAAATTCTCCAAACTAACATGAGAAGAACTATATCACAGACATTAAGGAGAATTAATAATGAGATCTTGGGAGTTAAAGGGTCTAGGCTTTTCCACATTTTTTGCCCTTACCCTGTCCCACACCTCAGCAACCTTCTCTCCACCAAAGTAAAAATTTTCAGTGCAATCTAATGTTCAAATACCTTAATAACTCCTTTAAAACCCTTTACATCTTAAAATCATTCTCCACACAGCTCTTTATACATTTCCCAAGGGGCTGACAAGGAAATTTTGCTTACCAATCAAAAGCTTCTTTTATCAGTGATCATTTCCTTCATTCTCATGACTTTAACATGTGATTCAGGGGTGATATTGCAGGGGGAAATTTGATGCTACACTGTAGTTACTCTTAGGGTTTAAAGGGTTAATTACATTTTCAGGTTAAAATTATTTAAACTAGATTGATTCAAATTTTCTTTTGCTTATGGACTACCGACAAAACCAAAGAAGGAAAATGAATCATGAAAGTTTGAAACTCAGTTTGAACTACAACAAGTACATTTGTGCTCTGGTGCGGATTAATTTAATAGATACACACAGTATAATTACGTACCAATTTGTCCGTCTTCTCTTGTTTTCTAATTACATCTAACGCTCTGAAATAACAGTGAAATCATAACGTGACCCTTTCGCAACAGCAAATTTGAAAGCTTTCGTGAAATCATAATATATTTCTATTAGTTTTTACAAGAAACGAATTTACCCTACCGTTTCTCGTATTCACTTTTTAGCCTCTTTAAAATCTCGAATTTCCTAAATTTCTCTGCATATCTGTGGGTGTAAAAAATTGAAATATTGATTCGTGTAAATAACTGGTAACAAGGAAGTTCTCCTCCTTGATTTGTTTTGAAATTTCACACCAGATTGTCTGAAAATGCGTAAATTCCGGTTCAGTTATGAAATAATTAAACGACGATTACCTTTCGGGGCATCTTTCATTAGAATGAAGAAAGTCTCCACTTAGAACGCACGAATAACACGTAAAACTCTTTCTTTTGATACTACATAGCGGACAGGTCTGAAGTGACGGAGTAATCGTGAGGTTTGAGTCGGTTTTTTCCTCAAAATATTCCGCCATGGTCATCCACTACATCTTTGTTTTGCTGAGTTAGCTGAGATGAATTTTCGCGTAGACGTTAAACCGCTGACATATTGTGTACTCATATAATTGGGTATACAGGTCAGCGGAATTGCATTAAAGGAGAAACGAAGCGAGCGGAGGAAACAAAGACGCCATGTTCCAGAGGATTCGAGAATGGTTGTCACTGAAAAATTACCAATATCAAGTAACTACTGGCATCTACATGCTGGAGCCTTGGGAGAGGACGATTTTTAGTATCCTTTGCTACGTGAATTTCTTCATACCGGTTTGAGTAACTCCTTTGTCTTGAATCACCTACGCGTCAAATATTTACATCTCATACACCATTGCAGCTAGAACGTGTTGCTACATGTGCAGTAATGCATATAGTTGGCGAAAATTTCGATTTTTTGGACAACTTTTGGCCCATTTTACAAGTACGATCCCTAGAAGTCAGTTTTCTATCGTGATTCGGCCGTGATCATGTAACCTAGGCAATTTTGGTGGCATTTTTTTTGAAAGTGAGGCATACCCACATACTCTAAGCTGTACTGGAACAATGAAAGTAGGGCGAAAGAAACTGGGCCACCCATTCATATCTCATCTTGTGTCTTATTTCCCTGTTCTATTATTCCCTAGTGCTCCTTTTGATGAGATTTCCACAGTCGTAAAGGCAATCTATTTTTTTCATTGTTTCCTCTACCCAAGAACTGTATGAAATATGAAGTGTGGGGTTTCGAAGAAATCTTACCCCTTTGTTCAATCACAGTCTTTTCCTTCTGGTGTCTCGTGGCAAGTAGATGTAAATAAATCTATATATATATTTATTATATACTCAACAAAATATCGCGTTTCTGGTTGGTCAATGATGAATGCATAAATAGGTTATAGAGTGCAATAGAGGTTATAGAGTGCAATACAGAGAAGTTGCCATGGAAACACCAGGGTAGCGTGATGGAGTAATTTTGTCGAGAATATAATAAATAAAAAATCGTATGAACCTGCTCGTGCATTTCGTGATTTATGGTCACTCGTGATGTTTTGAAAGTTCTCAAATTGCACTTGCCTACGGCTCGTGCAATTTTGAGAACTTTCAAAACATCACTCATGCCCATAAATCACAAAATGCACTCGCGTTCATACAATTTCCTATACATATATATATATATATACATATATATATATATATATATATATATATATATATATATATATGTATAGGAAATAATTGTTACTAGAACTTTCAGTTCAACAAAGGTGCACTGCCTCAGCAAGCATGAACGTAGAGAGTTAACTTAACTCTCTCTCTCTCTCTCTATATATATATATATATATATATATATATGTATGTATGTATGTATGTATGTATGTATACATGTATATAAATGCAAAAATTTCAAGAGGGCAAATTGGGCAAGAGAGATTGTCAGTTCAAGGAACTGTCAACTTCTGAAAACTTAAAATTGCAATTTTAACAATTCCATTTGTTTCTTCAGGAAAGAAATTCACATTTGCTTAAAAATGGCATTTCCAAGCTTTTTGCATAGATTTTTGTAACTCTTTTAAATTGTTGAAGAGTGTCTGAAAATGGGCAAAATGTCATAATTGTTTGAATACTATTAACCTTTTGACCCCTAAGAGTAGTTAGTAGCTCATTTCTCCCTACAGAATCACTAAAGGTCACAAGAATGATAAAATTGCTCACTAATCAAAGGAGATTGTGACTGATATCCATGTATAGAGAACAGTATGGAGAAATGCTCTCTTGTGATGGGGTGTAAAAGCTTAAATTGGGAGTGATATCTGTTTCAGGGGTTAATTTCTTTGGTAAAGAAAACTGTTTGTTAAACATTTTTATGGTGGCAATTTATGTCTTGACTCTCAGCTACTATGAAGAGAAAATTCACAGTATTGTGGAGATATAAATTTTATTTAAAAGCTAAAAAACTGCATTTAAAATAAGTGGTTTACTGGCTCAATTAATAAATTTCCTAAAGTTCAAATATGATAACAGTTATTCAAAGTAGTCTTTCTCACTCCTTCACACTAGCAGCCTCTATGTACTTCAGTCAGTCCATTACAGGAGTTCTTCAGTACACTCTAACATGTAGATCTATTTATAATTATACTGCTAACCCAAAGTGCTGATTTGTAATACACCTGGCCTGGGTTGTTCAAAGCTGGGTTAAGATAACCCAGGGTTAGTGTGGAATTTGATTTCAGGTCTGAAAGCTTTGAAAGGAAATTCAGTTCAAATCTTTTTGCGCGCAATTTGATCATTGGATGTTCTAAAAAGACCAGGGAAAACTTTTCCCTGAGAGGCCTTTGAACAAAGAAATAAAGAAACCTGGATTTATATTTAACCCTGGGTTTGCGCTAAACACCCTTTGAACAACTGGGCCTTGCTCTCAGTTCCACAGATGTGTGTGGTAGTGAGAGTTTGCAATCCTATCATTCCTAACCTTGCAAGCAATGTTAGATTATTCCTTAACGTAAATAACACAGATGCAACACTGGTGACAATCCTAGGGATGTCTGTATATTCTACATATGCTTATTTACCAGCTTATATTTACAATGTCCTTGCATACTTTGGTTATGTTGAAGATTCCTAATCTCTTGGCTCTTGGCTTCACCATGATAGCAGCAAGACTGTTCAAAGTATTATAAAAGTTTATGCTCAAGAAGAGACTAAGATTCATTGCCAGTTTTACATCAAGATGAACACAACAATATACTATGCAATCGTGAAAGAAACTTAAGAAGTCAATGCAAAAAGAGGATGTATCAAAGAATCAATTGCAGATGATTGTTTCAAACATGGAGTTAAAAAATCTTAAATGTAATGTGCATGGAACAATTTACCAATCCACTGCAACTGTAAAGGCCAAAATATGTTTTGTTGTTATAATTTAAAATCAGATTTGTTGGGTAAATTTAGAAAGAAACTGTGGTGCTGCATCAGTGGGAGAGTATGATAGGGTAATTTGGTGTTATCAACTGGGTTGATAATGTAAATTGGCCACCATAAAGAGTGTCAAGGCTGATATTTTTGAGTGTTAGCCCTTCATCATTTGCTCTTACAAAGGGCCAACACTTGAATCATCAGCTTTTAAACTCTTTATAGTGGCCAATTTAGGTTATTAACTGAATTAATATTACTAAATTACCATGAAATAAAATACTTCCTTATGTGTTATTTTGTTTTTTACAATGGTGATGTTATGAGTATTGTGCACTGATATGATTTTCATTCTACCAGCATTCAATTTCCGTCAATTATTTGTAGTTGACAATGAGAACGATATTCTCTTTTACACTTAAAAGTTTTGAAAGTGATCTTCGTGCTTTAATTTAACTTTATATCATACAGTGATAGGTCCAGAATACTTGCACAACTTTTTCAACCAATCAGATTTAAAGCTTAAGCCAGTCGTGACTTGGTCACTCGCATTTTCTTGTGCTTCAATCAGTTTGCTTGTCTTTTCTGTTAGTTCCTTGAGAGCTAACTATGAAATTCTCCTTTCTGTTCACTGGCTTTTGTGATTACTTTGGGTTTCACAACACTTAGTCAAAAAGCGCTCCACCATTACCTAAAATCATCAAGGGGAAACAGTTTGTAAATTGCTTACGACAATTTGGTTCTAGATCAAGAAAACAACTTTTACCTGATAAGTTTAAGTTTTCTCATTACCTGTCTGGATATTTTGTCACTTACTAATCACCTCTGGGAGGTAAGAGAGTTAATTAACCCTTCAACTCCCAGATCAAATTTGTAATTCTCCTTACTATCAACCATACAATTCTTATAATGTTGGTTCAGAGAATTTAGTATTAGACCAACAAATTATCCCCAAATTGATACTTTTTATTTTCATCACTTATCTGGTTGTTATTGCATTGATAATGTAAGGAGAATTTCTGTCTTGGTCACTCGTGGTAGTTAAAGGGTTAACGAGTGAAATACATCCTTTAACCAGACGTTCCTTAAAATGACATACTTTTAAACGTTTAACTTAAACGGTTATCTAACTCTTGTTTAACTTTTACGATTATAAAATGTAGTGTTGTTCTGGAATCCGTAGTGAGACGCATTTTAAAACGTTCACTAAAGGCTCCAAGAACCTCCCGCTTCCTTCCTCTGTCCCTATCGGATCAATAGCAGTATCTGAGCGGCTACGCACCATCCCCTCCCCTAACCCAGCATCAAATCTAACTTGTTATCAGTTGACTGTTTTAGGTTTAAGGTAGGGGTAGGTGCGGAGTTTCTCAGAAACTGACATTGATCCTCCTTATCAGTCAGTTAGCAAAGCGGTGCTCTCGTCTAGAAACTCGTAATGAAATTTTATTAGGCAAAAAAATGAGCATATCTTCCTTTTGAGGAACAACGCAAGACGGGCCAGTTGTGACAGAAGTGCAAAAAGGACAAGGAGAGCAGCCAGCGCAGGAAATGAGCAGAGAAAGGCGACCAAGATCCATCGAAGCACCACCATAACATGCTTGTCGGGTCCCTCAGGCTTGGTGGTAGAAGAGGAAAGAGTAGCCGATGTAAGGTTGATCACAGCTATGCAGGCTAACGTGATCAAAGACAACGCTCCGAGTTTGTCTGCAGTTGGGTGACGGAAGGGTTTCATGACGAGATGATGGACTAACATCAGAATACAGGCCACGGACAAGCAGAGGAAGCGGATCATGGAATTTGGAATGAAGGCGCGGAATGTCAGAAGAACGAGCCGGCTGCCTATCAAAACACTTTCCCAGTAGAGAGTGCCGCGATCATTTTCACGTGGCGGGCGGAAGGGACCGTGCAATATCTTTGATATTTCGTCGCTGCATTCATGGCGCACTTGAGCTTTTCTGCGGTTCTGTCTGCTGCATACACTTTTGAGGAGCCAGCGAACGAGAAACGGAAGGGGAACAATGCAAGCGCCAACAAACTCTTTCCATGTAATTGTCTTGGCGTAGAGCAGACCAGAACCCCAATACAGAACGCCGACAAACGGGACCACAAATATAACAGTATATGCCAAGAGACCATGCTGCCACCATTGCCAGCAAACGATGTTGCCATCGATGTTGAGGCGCCATTTGGAGCCGATGGGAACACACTGCATGAGTTTAAGAGATGTTTCTGTCAGACGCTCGTAGCCCAGTAACAAAATCTCTACTGCAGCCGCGACGTAATGAGTGAATGATGGTCTTCCCTTTCCCATTACCAGATTCAGCGACCTGTGAAGGAGGTAAACAATGAAAACTTGCGCAATAGCAGCGAAAACGAGGGAAGATAAGAACAGCTCTTTGGTCACTGCTGTGAGGCCGGCAAATGGGCAGCCGAGGTTTTCGTCCAAAACGTGGACTTGAAAGTTAAACGCGGCAACTAAGGTGGAAATATAGGGAACATTGGCCAATGTGTTCTCCAATGATTCAGTGAGAAGCAACTCTGCAACTTGGTAAAAATAAAAGACGATCCTCATATAACCATACTCCGGTTCTTCAGCTTTGTGCAGAGATGAATCTCCCTCCATCTCGAAAGAGATCTGTCCATCTGTTTTAAACCACAGAATTTGACGTTTCAAATACAGAACCAGCGGAGGCTTCTTCAATAGATAAATGGTAAACAGTACGGTGTAAAGTCCCATAAGAATCCACAGATAATTCCATCTGCATTTGTGGGATTGTCGACATTGTGACGAGAAAAGCGTTTCTGAGTATCCTGTGGCACATCTTCCACACAGGATACCGGACCTAAAGTCACGGCAACTGTTGTAATCATTACCTTGATATAAATCTTTGCGTTGAGGACGACAATACTCCCATGGACAAGATACGAATTTCAAGGATGAAATGTTACTAGCGTTTGTGATTTTGTAGCCCCAGAAATTGGGCTTTGCCAGAATGTTGTTGGGTCCATTGCAGTGGGCACCAAATGGACAGTTTTGACATCTGAAGCCTTTATTGACTTTTAGTCCTTTAGAGAAGCCACGTTGAAGACTGTACATTTTAGAGGAGCACATGCTGCAACTGAGTATCTCAGATGTTAAATTTATTCGACAAAAGTTTCTGTCATCTCCTTCGTCGTAAATAAAATGAGAGAAATTGGAGAAGTAGAGTTCGCTGCCAACTGCACATTGGATTGTTGAGCTAGAGTCCATCTCGAAGTAGCCTCCGGATTTTATTTGTATAACAGGTCCCCGTGTGAACCTGTTGCCCATATCGGAGTGAAAAGAGGTGTTGAGTATTTTTATCGGGCCTCCACTCTCTGAATAAAAAAATCTTCTATAACGAAACGTAATCCCTCGGAATTCCTCACTTAGCTTCGTCCGTTTGAACACGCAGCTGTTCAACTCAACTTTGGCGCTTCCGTGTCCAACATAAATTTGTCCTGTGTCACTTGAGGCAAAGTTGTTAATGAACTCGCATCTTCGAAATTTGACATAGCTATTGATGATCTGAACAGCCCCTGCCTTGTGTCCAAGGTTATTTTGAAACGTAGTGTCCTCGAGCAAGACATGATTGAAGTATTTCCACGTGCGATGGGTATTGTTTGTCACACCATTATCAACACATCCTCTATTTTCTATTTCATCCGTATCGAAAAGGAACATGAGTGCCCCTTGGCTGGTCCTATCAGTGACCTGGTGTTTGTAATATGTTCTCGTCCATTCGTCTATTTCAAGACCAAACCCGTCTCGAAACAAGCAACGGCGAATCTTGATCGTGTTGTTACCCTTGGAGAAGAACGCAAACGAATTGCTGGGTCTGCTTTTGAAGGTCACATCTTCTATTTCAATTGCTGCTTGAGAAACATTTGTCCTCTGTAAACGAGGTATAATAAGACGAATACCAAAAGTGGTGTTCACATGCCTCTGTACTTCTTTACCGTCAAACAGTGTGTTTCTCACCCGAAAGGCGATATTAATGGTGTTGTAAAGTAAACCATATATGTCGTGAGTGTTATTCTGGAATTTGCAGCCTTCGATAGTAACATTTAGATGAAAATTGTTTTTATAATACCAGTCCGAGAAGAAGATGCCCAAACCGTTCAGTGAAGAAGACATGGTTACGTTGACTAAGGCCAAGTAAAAATTAGGAGTTATGCTTAAGGCCGTTTTATTATTTTTGACAAAAGACGTATTGGAAATTATGACAGTTCCAGAATGACTTTCCTTTCCCCCAACTCGAAAGATTGCCGCAAGCAATGTCTTATTCCCTGATTGGTATGCGCTGTTATTGTAAAAAAGGGATTCGTGGACTCTGACTAAAAGTGTTGCATTTTTCCTTCCAAAGATTGTTACACACCTAACCTGATCATTATCCTTGCACTGTAGTCGATGAAATGTTACTTTGGCTTTCTGGGCTACTGAATAGTAAAGGCTACGAGGCGTCCTCTTAGAGATAACGAAGTTGTTCTGCTCAAGGACGACGTCATCGTACTTCTCTGACGTACTAGCTTTGGGGAGGTTGATCGCTAGAAATGGGCCGCCGCTGTGAGCTACCTTTACCTTTTCAACAGCGATAGACAGATCAATCTTGGGAGAAATATAACTGTTTAATACAAGAACTTCCCTTTTGAAATAATCTAAAATCCCATGGTTCAGGAAGTTAGTGTCCTTGATATCTAAAGAGAATTTCAAGACTTTCTCAGAGCCTCCAGAAAATTGTATTTTCACACAATGGCGAGAGTTGTTTTGAAAGAGAGAGCCTCGAATGGTGACATTTGCTATTGAGCTAGCTGTAGTGTTAATAATGACAGCTTCATTGGCGTTCTGATGGGTGCAGTTGATAAGTGTGATTTCAGAACAGTCTATAAATCTCAGGGGTGTTTCAAAGAATGTTATTCCAGTTAAAGTGACTCGTAGATCTTCGTCTGACCGATTAAAACAAAACCCTGTCAGGCATCGTATGTGGGCTCGAGTAAAGTTTAGACTAGTTATCGTTACGTTCCTTGTAATTTGCGGAATGCCACGATAATGCAACGTAAGTAGTTTCTTACAGTCGAACGGTTGCTGGTCTGTCCCGTTCCCATTAAGGACAATGGTTCCACCTGACGCAACTCGCAATGCTGCCACTGCTATTGTTCGGCATGGTGCTTCCATGGCACCGCATGCCTCCGTGTCATTTCCAAATAATGAAACTTGGACAATTTGTCGGTATGTTGCGAAACTATCTACAAACAAAGGTTGGTGATATATATTTATA